CTCGGGTTTTTGACTGTGTGAGGGGACGTGCTCCTAACCCCTGAATTATTCAGGGTCAACTGTAATTTTATGCTTGGATAAAGATTGGTTATTGAAAAAACAGAAGAGGTGAAAACGGCATAAGCCTTTTATAATTAAGGTTGAATGAATTTTACAAATATTTCCTCTGGTTATTTAAAAATTATATTAAACTAGATAATCCTGCTAAAGCACCTAGTATAATGCCTGGCATATTGTAAGCCCTCAAAACATTTAGCATAGTGGGAATCTGCCCGGGGGTGGGGAGGCACAATTCATCAACAAGGGTACCTGTATAATGAACATTTATATACCTAACCCTGAATTGTACCCCACATCTTTAAAATAAAAAAATTAAAAGAAAAAAAATTAACATAATAAAAAAATTTACCAGCATTTGTTATAATACTTTTAGAAAATGGATGCTTTTGGAAGATTGAGCATAATCTCAGGCTTTTTTTTTTTGAGTTGGAGTCTCACTCTGTCGCCCAGATTGGAGTGCAGTGGCCACTCCAGGTCACCGCAGCCTCGACCTGCTGGGCTCCGGCGATTCTTCTGCCTCAGCCTTCCAAGTAGCTGGAACTCCAGGCGCGTGCTACCACACCTGGCTAGTTTTTTGATTTATTGTAGAGAAGTTGCCCAGGCGGGTCTCGAACCCGCGGGCTCAGGCAATCCACTCACCTCGACCTCCCAAAGCACGAGATTACAGGCTGAGTCACTGAGCCTGGCCCAGCCATATTTCACTTCTTTACATTGGAGTTCAGTCATTTGAGAGCCAATCCACCAGCATTTAGAGAACTTCTATCATATGCTGAGTATTGTTCTGGACATTGGGGAGATAAGATACTTGAGGGATTACTAATTCAACTCATTACTTTACCAGGGGCAAAAAATGGAGAGAGTGGTAAGTGATTTGTCCATGGTTAGTCTACTATTAGATAGCAAAGTTGGATGTTTTTTCTACCATTTCTCTTCAAAAAGCAGCATTGATAAGTGCAGGTGAACTTGACTGGAAAATCTGTTCCCTAGGAAGCTGAATGTGCCCATTCTCCTCTGCTGTGGTGTGTGAAATACACCCACAAATCTGACACTCTCTCAAAGAGGGATTCTCCTCTCCTCGAGTATGAGCTGGACTTAGTGACCTCATTTCTAATTAAGGGAGAAAGGGTGGAAGTGACTGGGTGCACCTGTGAAGACGGCCATGAAAGGCATTCGGCTCCTGCTTGCTCTCTCCAGATGACTGGCTCTGGTGGGAGTGTGTGGCTATGTGTGAGGACATCCAAGCGGCCTATGGAGACACCCACGTGGCAAGGAACTGAGGATTTCAGCCAAGAGCCTTGTGAGTCATCTTAGAAACTCCAGCTCCACTCAAGTTTTCAGATGACCACAGCCCTGGCCAACTGCTTGACTGTCTCATGGAAGACCTGCACCAGAACCACCTGGCTGATTCACATTAAGTCCTGACCGTCATATAATATGTGAAATAATACACGTTTATTGTTTTAGGCTGCTAAACTTTGGGAGTAATTTGTTACTCAGCAATAGATAACTAACAAATACACTCTCTTAATATCACTTTGCTTTCTCTCCTACCCCTTACTGACCTCCCTCCAATACCTTATTTTAGAGTTTATATTCTTAGGGCAATGACTAACACATTTCTTTAGCTCTGATATTTTTCACTATATTTATTTAACGGCTTTATTGAGATATAATTTATATACCATAAATTGACTGAAACATTAAAAAATTATGGCAAAACCATATGACATAAAACTTACCATTTAAAAGTATTCAGTGGCATAAAAATGCATTGGTGATGTTGTGCAACCACCACTGTTATTTAGTTCCAGAACTTTTTTATTAGTTCAAATGGAAGCCCCATGCCCACGGCTGACACATTTTAAAAGGTTAATTTTATTTTGTCCATCAAATGTGGAATAGTCATGTAGTAACAAAGGTCAACAAATTTGGAAAGAAATAACATTAATACGTCTAATGACAGCATATTAATCTTTTCACATTGCTATACAGAATAAGACAATTTAATGAGACATATTCCATTAGCTAAAAAAATTAATCTTAAAATTCTTCTTGGTTGGGCATGGTGGCTCACACCTGTAATCCCAGCACTTTGAGAGGCAGAGGTGAGAGAATTGAGTCAGCCCAGGGGTTCGAGAACAGTCTGGGCAACACGGTGAGGCCTCATTTCCACAATAAGTAAAAAAAATCAGCCAGGTGTGGTGGTACGCACCTGTAGTTCCAGCTTCTTGGAAGGCTGAGGCAAAAGGATTGCGTGAGCCCAGGAGGTTGAGGCCACAGTAGCCGCCATTGTGCCACTGCACTCCAGCCTAGGTGATAGAGTGAGACTCCCACTCAAAACAATCATTAAAGATTTTAAAAACTCTTCTTAAATTTCTTGGGTGCAGAATGTCCCCAATGTTTACCAGCAGCCAAGGAACTAGAGCTGCAGACAGTGGTTGGAAACCCGGTGGGAGAACAGAGAGGCGCCATGTGGTAGCGGGCTCTGATCTCATGACATTAGTGGTTACCTACAATCCTGGGGTTAAAGGGATGCGGAGGGAACAGCTTGGTCTCAGTGAGGTCACACTCTGCCACAGGTTTTGGAGCGAGAGGAGATGGCGTTCTGGCCAGGTGTCTGCCAACCCAGTATTGGGGTGAAGGTTGGTAACAGATGTTACTAGTTCTAGCACCATTTCCTGCCAATAGTCTTATTTTAATATAATACAGGCTGGTAGAGACCATGCAACATTGCTACTGAATTGAAGGATGGCCGTGCAAGCACTACATCATATTCTTTGGTGGCTTTAGTTTCTTGTGTCCTATGAAGAATACAAATGAAGACTGTAGGCGAGAGAGTACCTTTGGTAAGCACAGTTCATTTTCTTTCCCCTGGAGAGGACATTATAGCCTTGCTATGGCATGTCCTACAACTGACCAGATAGGCAGGTTATGCTCCTACCCCAGGAGCAGCAGCTTAGAACAGAAAAATCATGGCCGGAGGACATTTATATTACCTGTGCATTCACTTAGTGGACCAGCATCTTCCGTGATGTGAGACTCTCTCCCTTACTCATTTATCCATTTATCCATTAATTCATTCATTTTTGAGTTGGAGTCTCACTCTGTCACCCAGACTGGAGTGCAATGGCTGCTCCCAGCCACTGCAGGCTCGACCTGCTGGGATCCGGAGATCCTTCTGCCTCAGCCTTCCAAGTAGCTGGAACTACAGGCGCGCGCTACCACGCCTGGCTAATTTTTGATTTATTGTAGAGATGAGGTCTCGCCAAGTTCCCCAGGCGGGTCTCGAACCCGCGGGCTCAGGCAATCCACTCACCTCGGCCTCCCAAAGCGCTAGGATTACAGGCTGAGCCATCGTGCCCGGCTATTTATTTATTTATTATTTTTATTTTATTTTATTTTATTTTATTTTTTGAGTTGGAATCTCACTCTGTCGCCCAGACTGGAGTGCAGTGGCCGCTCCCGGCCACCGCAGCCTCGACCTGCTGGGCTCCGGCGATCCTTCCGCCTCAGCCTTCCAAGTAGCTGGAAATACAGGCGCGCGCTACCACACCTGGCTAATTTTTGATTTATTGTAGAGATGAGGTCTCGTTGCCCAGACAGGTCTCGAACCCGCAGGCTCAGGCAATCCACTCACCTCAGCCTCCCAAAGCGCTAGGATTACAGGCTGAGCCACCGAGCCTGGTTATTTATTTATTTATTATTTTTATTTTTATTTTATTTATTTTATTTTATTTTTATTTTTTTTATTTTTTGAGTTGGAGTCTCACTCTGTCGCCCAGACTGGAGTGCAGTGGCCGCTCCTGGCCACCGCAGCCTTGACCTGCTGGGCTCCGGCGATCCGTCCGCCTCAGCCTTCCGAGTAGCCGGAATTACAGGCGCGCGCTACCCCACCCGGCTGATTTTTTTTTTTTTTTTTTTTTGAGTTGGAGTCTCACTCTGTCACCCAGACTGGAGTGCAGTGGCCGCTCCCGGCCTCCGCAGCCTCGACCTGCTGGATTCCGGCGATCCTTCCGCCTCAGCCTTCCAGATTTTTTGATTTATTGTAGAGATGAGGTCTCGCTGCCCAGGCGGGTCTCGAACCCGCGGGCTCAGGCAATCCACTCACCTCAGCCTCCCAAAGGCGCGGGATTACAGGCTGAGCCACCGAGCCCGGCTTTCATTTATTTTTTAAAAATCGATTGCGTGTCTCCTCTGTATCAGGCACTGTTCTCATCATTGGTAACAATCAATGAACCAGACAATGGAGCTCATGAAAGGAGAGCATTGTTTTTGTGTGTATTTCTCTTGAGTCTAACACTCCCTGAAGCTAATCTGGACTGATCCACATTAGGAGGACGTTAATGAGACCAGGAAAGGCCTGCAAATCAAACTGCATCCTCCTTCTCCAATCCCGAACCTCAACAACAGTAAAACAGAGAGTAGGAGAAATGTAGGGGGCGGCCCCCTTTTGCTTTACCAAGGCTCAGTATCTCAGATGCTGGCCATCCCTTTCAGACTGCCCTTTCCATTGTCTCAGGACAAAGGATCCTCCCCTGAGGTTTCTTCTCACTGCTAGTTAATAGCAGTACAATTCGATATGTTACCAGATAAAGCCACAGTCCTGATGACTATTAGTTCCATGCAATTTAGGGGTGCCCTCACTGAACAGAAGCCAGACCCCAGCATCCCCATGCAGCCCTCTTGTGTCTACCACGAGCATGCTTGCACAGTGATCCACTACCTTTTCTGGGGAGCCCTCTGGCTGCAACCCCAGGGGCGAAAGGAAGGCAGGGCTCAGCAGCATTCCAGAAAGCAGGGGTTCTCAGGATGGAGAAGCAAGCGGCCTCCCCAGGCATGGGACACCGGGTCAAAAGGAAAGGTAGGCAAAGAGCTACAAGGAGTGGGGGATGGGGGGCGGTGGGGAGTCTAGCAAAATGAGCAATGGCTGGGGGGAAAAATTAGGATCAAAACACATTTTTTAATTGTAAAAGCCAAAACCAAGGTGGAGGCATGTTGCTGCATGGACCTGGATAGTGAAACATCAGTGATGAGATGAGTGAGAGGAGGTGAGCTGAGGGGTCACGTGCATGGCAGCCTGAGCACCATCACTCGCAGATAGGGAGCACCCCTGGCCAGCAGGGCAGTTAATCACGGTCTGCACCCTTCATTTGTTAGAAGAAATGTGAGTCACTCCAATAAAACTGGCTATTGGCAGAGGGAACCTAACGTCTGACTTGTGAGACAAAAAGAGCCAGCTGCTCTGGCTTCGGGACTCGAGAACTTTGTCAAGTCCCAGCTGTTCCGCAGCCTAGAGAAAAGGGAGGAGCCCAGCTACCGCCTCTAGACACGTGTCCGCCAACAGCAGGAGTGCTCCAGATTCCATCAGCTTTGTAGATGCACTGGGGGTTGAGATCAGACCGGGGTGTGGCTTAGGAGCAGGAGAGGGGCCAGGGGAACCCAGTCTGGGCTATCAGATGAGGCGAGGGTAAAAGCCTGGGGACCCACTGGCAAGGTTTGCTGGCCTCCCAGAAATCTTACATCCAAGGGCCCCATGCACCAGTGCTCTTGGGATCACAGCGGGGGTCCTGTGCAGGGAAGTACACAGGCACTGAGTGTTTGTGGTAGAACTGCAGGCGGGACAGGAGATTCCTGACAATGTGGGGATGTTCACTGGACAGGTCATGCCTTTCTTCCGGGTCTTGATCGATGTCAAAGAGCCAGAGGGTCTTGCTTGGGGGGTCCGATGAGCGTATCTCAGAAACATTGTATTCAGATGGAGGCGGGAACCAATAACCACAGCCTAGCAAAGAAACACAACAGTTTACTTAGGCAGAGGCCACAAGGAAAAGTTCTAGTGTCAGGGAGGGAATCTGAGGCCAAGGCTGCTCTGGGCTGTGTGTGTGGACATGTGGGAAGACGCAGCCTCCATGCTGTCTCTAGGTCTGTCTCAGGCTCTGACTTTTGGTGCTTTCACTAGACATGTCATGCTGCTTCACAACCAGTGCCATTTGGGAACATGTATGTGTGTGACCTTGTCACAGGACTGGGGCGGAGGTGCTCCAGGCATTTAGTGGGCATGGGCCAGTGATACATCCTTTCAGTACATGGGACAGTCCCACAAAATGAAGACTTGCCTTGTTGCAAATGCCAAGAATATCCCCATGATAAGCGCTGCTTAACTGCATCACAGCCTTAACATTGTACCACATGTTTAAAAAGTATTGAGAGGCCGGGCTTGGTGGCTCAGCCTGTAATCCCCTGCTTTGGGAGGCCGAGGTGAGTGAATTGCCTGAGCCTGCAAGTTCGAGACCCGCCTGGGTAACTTGGCGAGCCCTCATCTCTACAATAAATCAAAAATTAGCCAGGCGTGGTAGCGCGCGCCTGTGTTTCCGGCTACTTGGAAGGCTGAGGCGGAAGGATCGCCGGAACCCAGCAGGCCGAGGCTGCGGTGGCCAGGAGCGGTCCAGTCTGGGTGACAGAGTGAGACTCCAACTCAAAAAAAAAAAAAAAGTATTGAGAAGATGGGGGGAGTAACTTCCTTCTTCTGCTACACTCCCAGGTTGAGGGTGTGGCTCTCAGATACTCTCTTTGCTGGCTATGGCTAATATTTTCTCTCTTTCTTTGTCTCTTTCTCAGTCAGGACCAGGAGATGAAATCATTCCTCCTCCTCCTCATCTCCTTGTTCAGCAGCCCCAGAGACATGTTTTGCAAAAGGCAGTTGCTAGTTTGGTCAACTTTTCCTTGACGTTCTGGTTGGAAAGGCTACTTGGGCCAGACTAAAACGGAAGCTGTGTAATGGGAACAGGCTGAGTCCTTTTTTTTTTTTTTTTTTTGAGTTGGAGTCTCACTCTGTCACCCAGGCTGGAATGCAGTGACCACTCTTGGCCACTGCAGCCTCAACCTGCTGGGCTCCGGCGATCCTTCCGCCTCAGCCTTCCAAGTAGCTGGAAGTACAGATGCGCGCTACCATGCCCAGTTGACTTTTGATTTATTGTAGAGATGAGGTCTCGCCAAGTTGCCTGGGTGGGTCTCGAACGCGCGGGCTCAGGCAATCCACTCACCTCAGCCTCCCAAACTGCTAGGATTACAGGCTGAGCCACTGAGCCCAGCCCAGGCTGAGTCTTAACAGTAGGAAGGGACAGCCCTGAATGGAGAGTTGTCTTCTCTCTACACATATCTGGTGGGATCATAACAGATCACATTTCAGGTCTGGGCAAAGTAAGGCCAGGGTGGGGCTTAACATCCAGGAGCCAAATAGAAGGAGATGGGGACAGAGGTGACCGAGAGGGACATGTTAGAACAAGAGAGATAATGTCCTTCCTTGCCAGAGACATGGTCAAGGGAATAAAATCTCAGGAGTAGAGGTAGTTGGAGATACTGCCAAAGGACACAGCCCTGCCTTATCCATTGCGGGAAAGGAAATCTGCTGAGCAAAGCTTTCTACCTGGGTAGCCGGTGAGGAGCTTCCAATTGCCATGTCTAATTGCAGCATGGACAGATGTGTTAAAGGTTGAATATTTTGGAAGAGAGGACTCGTCCTTCGCTGGAGTCATGCTGCTCCCAGGACCTGGAAAGAAAAAGTTGGGAAGCAGATCACTGTTATTGGAACACGTTGTTATAAATCAGCATTTTATACCTTTTTTGCAGAACAGTAGCTTTTATTCAACACTGGAGTGCAAATGTGTATCTAGCCACAGAAATGAATCTTTTATTAAACCTAAACAGAAAGCTATGGTTACATGAAATGTCAGTCATAACCCACCACAAATATAAAGGAAATCCCAAAAAGATTACAACACTAATTCATCCTTAAAATCGCTGTGTCCTGCCAGTGCACAGCTGGCCATGTGTAAGCAGTGTTCTGTTACAGCAGAGTGAGTTCTTTTTGGTTTGTTTTTTGTTTTTTGGGGTTTTTTTGAGTTGGAGTCTCACTCCGTCGCCCAGGTTGGAGTGCAGTGGCATACTCACAGTCACCCCAGTGTCGACCTGCTGGGCTCCGGCGATCCTTCCGCCTCAGCCTTCCAAGGAGCCAGAATTACAGACACGCATTACCACGCCCGGCTAGTTTTTGATTTATTGTAGAGATGAGGTCGTGCCAAGTTGCCCGGGCAGGTCTCCATCCCATGGGCTCAGGTAATCCACTTGCCTTGGTCTCCCAAAGTGCTGGGATTATAGGCTGAGCCACCAAGCCCAGCCTGTTTTTTATTTTGCTTTGATCTTTTTTTTTTTTTTTGCTGTTAAATGCTTGAATTAAATACATTTTCTGTGTATGCCTATACCTATGTAGATAGCATGATACATTATAAAATGTACATTTTAATGAGTCTATCTCAAGCTGTGAGAGTTTAGGCATGCCTTGACAGAGAACACATGTATTCATTTTTAAGCCACTCATGTAAAATCTGAATGTGAACAATGCTCACTAGAATAGCTGACAATTCACAAAGAATAATGATGGGGATAAGAATAAATTTGGTGTACAAATTACCGGTTGGCATTATGGATTACATGAATTGATCACTTTGCGGTTTTATATTAATTCATTATCAGGTTGGCATTGGTGGGGAGCAATTACGAATCCCTACCCCCGGTGGAGTTTGGAACCAATTAAGAGCAGACCAGAGCGCTTACATATATCTGGGTGACAGGTGGGCTAGAAACTGGACAGAAAAAAGGGTGTGAGTGGAGCACACTCAGCTCCTCTTCCCAGCCCGCTATGGAGTGACGAGACACAGTGGATGCTCTACTCTCGTGGAAGGCTGGGTGGATCACGAGAGCCACGTGTGGAGGTCCCTCCCCTCCCTCCTACCTGTGCACTGCTAACGGCAACTTAGGCCTAGCTGAATAACTTTAGTCTGTTTTAATGAATAACATTTATCTGCTAGCTTTTCAAATATGGTCTCGGCAATCATCTTGGGAGCCCTCCAAAAGGTGCTGAGCGACCAGTCCATAACTCATGACCGCATGTGACATGTCTGTGAAAGGACAGACTCCATCATGGTGCCTTCCTTTCCTAAAAGACTTGGACAGTACTCTCTGCCTCGTCCAGGACTTCTATGCACCTTGGGGTTTAATGTAGGGTTTGTCCATGGTGGAAAAGGCGGGAAGTCCCATTCTTCTGCCAGTCTTCTAGAAATGACCCTGCAGAGACACACTGAAGACGGATCCAATAAACATCACTGTTTTCAGAGATTCAGCGTCAACAATTCAGCAACACGTCTTTAGCACCAAAGAGGAAAATCTTTCTGACTTCTTGCTTCTCTGTTTGCTTATGGATATCTTGGCTCCAACACAAAGAGATGCTTCTAGTGCTTGAGGTGCGTGAGGATGTCTATTGCAGGAAGTGGGCTCCTAACATAGACTGTGCTAAAACTGTGAACCCTCATGATTCACTCCTCACGGGCTTGTACGAAGGCCACGTTTTGATACTAAAGAATGTTAAATAAAACAAGCATGTCTTGTGAATGTAAACAAGAAAAGGAAATTTAACTATCTCAGCTATACTTATATTTATATACTTTTTTTTTCTTAAAACAAACAGGAACATAAAATACCTAAACAATAAACAAGTCTAAGACTAAACAATGTAAGAGACTATTATTTCAACTTTATTGTTTTTCATTTTGAGAAATTAAACAGAGAAAATTACAAAGAGTAATATAACTAACGCTCTGGGAGCTGTCACCCTAACACGAACAGATGTTAACATTCTGCTGTACTTGCTATAAAAAAAAAAATCAGACAATAAAGATGAAGGTGAAGTGGACTTTGTCCCCACCCTCAGTGCCAGTCTCTTCATCCACTCCCCAGAGGCTGCTGCCATAACTTCAGTGTATCTTCCTGCCATTTTGAAATACAGTCGAAAATGTATGTGCCAAGGAATAACATATAGTGCAATTCTATGCTTTAAAAATGTGTGTGTGCTGTTGTTGGGAATGTAAATCAGTATAGTCATTTTGAAAAACAGGATGAAAGTTTCTCAAAAACTGAAAAATAGAACTACCATGCAATCCACCAATCTCACTACTGGGATTTATTCAAAGGAGAAGAAATCAATATGTAAAAGGGATACCTGCACCCTCATGTTTACCACAGCACTATTCACAACAGCAAAGATATGGAATCAACCTAAGTGCCCATCAGAGTGAAATTCTATTCATCCATGAAAGAGGATGAAATCCCGTCATTTGCAGCAACATGGATGCAGCTGGAGGTCACTGTGTTAAGTGAATAAGCCAGCACAGGAAGACAAAAGTCGCCCATTTTCACTCCTGTGTGGGAGCTAAAAAAGTGGATCTCATGGAGGAAGAGAAGAGAGCGATGGTCACCAGAGGGTGGGAGGGATGTGGGGTGGAAGGATGGAGGAAGGCTGGCTGACGGGTGCGACAGACAGAAGGAATAAGTGCTAGTGTTCAGTGGCGTAGAGCGACTAGAGTTAACAATAATATATTGTATATTTCAAAATAGAAGAGAAGATTAGAAATGTTCCCAACACAAAGAAATGATAAATGCTTGAGGTGATGGATACCCCAAATACCAAGATCATTACACACCACACTGTATGCATGTATCCACATATCACATGCACCCTCCCAAACAAGTGTGTATCAATAAAAATAAACAAAATAAAACGTATGTGTTATGTTAATCGTGACTTGCTTCATCATTCACTATTGTGTGTTTATAGCTCTGTGATTATATATGTGTATATGTTCCTTTTCATTGTTTAGTATTTCGTGATATAAAAAGCCACATTTTATTTATTCACTCCCTTGCTGACGGGCATTATAAACTATTTTGAAATGAACAGCGTTGCTACCCACAGCTCCTTCTGCACACGTGCTAGAGTTTCTCTAGGGTGTGTGTTCAGAAGTAGAACTGACCAGGTACAAGAGCTGCATATTTCCAACTTCACAACACAGACTACTTGGCCCTCCCACTGGTAACCTCCCCATTTCTTCACATTCTATACCTGACACTCTCAGACTTAATTATTTTGAGAGACCTGGATGCGGTGGCTCACACCTGTAATTCCAGAATTTGGGAGGCAGAGGTGAAACAATTGCGTGAGCCCAGGGGTTCAAGACTAGCCTGAGCAACTTGGCAAGCCCTCATCTTATAATCAATCAAAATTAGCTAGGCGTGGTGGTGCACGTCTGTGGTTCCAGCTACTTGGAAGACTGAGGCGGAAGGGCCACCTGAACCCAGCTGGTCGAGGCTGCAGTGGGTGTGAGTGTGCCACTGCATTCCAGCCTATGTGACAGAGTGAGACTCTGAGTCAAAAAAAAAAAAAAATTCATTTTGAGAGAAACTTCATGCTTTTCTTTATTCAATTAGCAAAACCTTTTTCTGTGTTATATAGGGATTGCTTTAAAAAGCATTTTTACAACACCAAGTAAAAAAGTGCTCAAACTAGAAGTACACAGCTTGTTGAACAGCAAACTCTGTCCTGTTCATACTACCTGATCAGAAACCCATGTCAGGAGCCTACCTGCAGGTACTATACCTTCCTCTCCCCAAGGTAACTTTGGACAGCAGATATGAATTTTGTCTGCTTTTGAACTTAGAGTGGGTGGAAATCCTATAGTACGTTTCAGATATTTCTGGTTCCTTTTGATTAATATCATGTGATATTGAGCTACGTGGCTGGGATTGTCTGTTTCCAGGACTTCATTCATTTTCATTGCTCAAAAGTATTTCATTGTATGAAAATTCCACAACCTCTACATTTGGATTTAAAACCCACCTGGAATTCATTTTTGTCTATGAAGCATGGTAGAAATCAAGATTTATTTAAAAAAAAAAAAAATGGCTTTTGACTGACCAAATGCCCTTATTAAAGACTGTCCCTTTCCTATTAATCTGCAGTGACACCTTTGTCAAAAACTGCATTTCCCCTTGGGGTGAGTCTGTTTCTGGTGCAGCTCTCCAGTAGAACTTTCTGCAGTGGTGGAAATGATCTGTCTGTGCTGTCCAGTGCTGCAGCCCCAGCCACATGTGGCTAATACAGTAGGACATATGGCTGGTGTAACTTAGGAACTTTCCGAGATAATTTCATTTTAATTCATTGAAATTGTCACATGTGGTTAGAGGCTACTGAGATAGACAACACAACTCTGGAGTCTCTATTCTGTCCCACTGGTCTGTGTCTCTGCCTTTGTGTTAATACCACAATGACTTAAATTCTGTAGATTTATACTGAGTTTTTCTATCTGGTAATATATGCCCCTCAACTTTGTTGTTCTTCAAAATTAATTTCAACATTTTTGGCCTTTTGCATTCTCAGTATAAACTTTAGGATCAGCTTGTCAAGTTTTACAAAATACCTGCTGAGCCACTGATTAGGATAATATTCATTCTAGGGATCAATTTGGAGGTATTGGTCTTAAAATATTGAGTCTTGCCGGGCTCGGTGGCTCAGCCTGTAATCCCGCGCCTTTGGGAGGCTGAGGTGAGTGAATTGCCTGAGCCCGCGGGTTTGAGACCCACCTGGGCAGCGAGA